TTTGTTTAGGAAGGACTTTTCAATGTTCATCAAAGCCAGTGATGACAACCTATCCTGGTTCTGCGAATTTCTAGTAAGCACGCTTAACTGCAAGGTCACAGATTATTCTACTGCAAACTGTGCCTTACATCTGGCAACATTGCTGGAAGCACGAAGCTGGTAGCATACCATAACGCATAGCTCACTTACAGACAACATTGACATTGAGTCAGCCAGTTAACCCAGGGGAGGGTGGAAGCGAAAGACCCGCTGCTTCCGCGCGTGTTGCAGTTTAAATTTCCCTGCATTTTGGAAGAAAATAACTGATCTATCCTGATAAATTGTTTATGTAACACATTAAAACTTGCAATATTCTCATTATATGTAATATATGTTCTCAGATTAATTAATATTTTGAAGTATGAAATATTTTTTTGAAATTGAAAAATTGTCAGAAATGTTCTTGGTTGCTTTTCTATAGGGAAGCAATGCTTCCACCACATCCATGTACCCTACGCCCCTGGTAGTTAGGCCAATTAAAATGTGTTTAAATGAGATACATCATAATGTCTGTGACATTTTCACATTCAGAACTCTCTTAAACAAAGAGCATTATGAGCATTGTTTTTCAACTTAGCTTTAGCATGCGCTATTAGGGAGACACAAGAAAGGCAGATGGGAGCTCCTATTATATGGTGATGATATGAATTTATTAGTTAAAACATAATTGCACTAAAAGCAAACACAAAAGTCTACTGTAAACAATGAGAGTCAGTTTCAAAATAAACACGAAAAAGACTAGGAGTGTATTCATATTTTGTCCCTTGAATGAGGAACAAAATTGTAACATAAAGACAGCAAATACAGCTTTTCGAAATATGGGAAATTTCAATGCCCATTTAGAATATGGAAATGACAGTAACAAATCAAAATTATTATAATGTCAGAGTGAAAACTTTAATTTCTGAGAATGCTAAAAGCAGTTCATTGTTGAATCTTATATCATCTTTTCTGCTATACCAAGATCTAACGATTAAATTATACAAAGTACTTTGTATCTTCTTATCTATGTGCGCTGTCTAAAAACCTGTATATTAAAGTACAAGCCTATAACTATAAGATTTTATCTGCTGTTTTGTATAGGCACGAATCATCGTCTCACAGTCTAAAGGAAGAAGTTACACTGATAGCATGTTACAAGGAAAGTATATGGATTAAAGAAGAGGTAGTAGCAGAAAAATAAAGAAAATTACCTAATGAGGAGCTTCCTCATTTTACCATATTATCAGCGTGAATGAACAAAGAAGGATGAGAGATAGGCAGGTCATTGTAAGAAACAAATACACACAAAATTTTGATTTGGAAACCTGAAAATTACAAGAAAAAATTAAAAACAGAGTATAACTTCTTTGTCTAAATAGTTTCAAATCTTATGTTATACTATGCAGCACTATGTTCTTTGCTGATAGAAACAAAGTTAATTTCATTCATTTATCATAAAAACTGTATTAGATACAGCATTTTATAAATACAATATAAGCGTCCTAACAGGAACTGACATTTAAATGCAGAGCAGCAATGGGCATTTAAATAAACTCCGGTGAGCTCAAGCTATCACCATGTTATAAGTCCAGTGTTTAACGGTTAACTGCATAAGAAAGGCTACAGAAAAGTACATTTCAGTATATTCACCTATTTTCTGAAGAAGCCTGGGATTTATGGGTTGTTCCTCAGAGATTTAATGAGCAGCAAAAGGTTCTGAAGGTAACAATGAAAGTGTTCTTTCCATCATAAACAAAATAAAGTGGAAAATAAAATATTGATGTTATGGATTCTCTTTTAAGGGAAAATCAATATGAAAGAGTATTCAGAATAACAGTTTTAGTCGTATTTGTGACTGAATGTAAGCCCGTAAATTCTGAAGGCTCTCTTTGTTTGTAAGAAAGCAGCAATATTGTATGCTTATTTCATGTGTTTATGAGTTTATATGAAGATAGTGCCAAAACGAGTGTTATGAGTACAGAATAAAATGACACAGTAGTTACAAATTGCAGAGTAAAGAAGATGTGTGAGAAGACAGTTGTGACTTCTGAAATACTATTTCAACATTTGCCTTGTGGGATCAAGGACAACTATGAAAAATACCATGATTATATAACCTCTGTGCAGAGACATGAATGAGACAGCACACCAAATATGAGACAAGTGTGAGCACTGCAGTGTTTTGCAACCATATATTTTTTCACACATATGTTTTATGTTGTCAGACAAACAATAAAAGTAGAATAGAAAGATGAAGCACCTTGAACTAAAAATTTGGGCAGAAGATGCAGTATATGCACGTATGCATTAATTAAGAAAACTTTTAATCAGACGAACTGATCACTTCCAACAACTTGAAGACAAAACAGATCAAGCAATACATATTCATAACACTGTAAACAAATTCATGTTTTTCATGTACTAGTACAAGAAATGTAACTTGTACCCTTCTTCAAGTGTAATTAGAATGATCAAGTCAAGGAGGATGAGGTGGGCAGGGCATGTAGCACGAATGGGGAGACGTGGAATGCATATAGGATTTTGGTGGGAAAGCCTGAAAGAAAGAGACCACTGGGAAGACCAAGGTGTAGGTCGGTGGACAATATTAAAATGGATCTTATAGGGATAGGTTGGGATGGTATGGATTGGATTGGTCTGGCTCAGGATAGGGACTAGTGGAGGGTGCTTGTGAACACGGTAATGAACCGTCAGGTTCCATGAAATGCTGGGAAAGTCTAGAGTAGCTGCGTATTTGGCAGCTCCTCAAGAAGGGCTCAGCTCCATAAGTAAGTTAGTAAGTAAGTAAGTAAGTAAAAGAAATGTAACCTGGTCTCTGACTTAAAGGGAGGAACATAGACTGACGGTGTTTGAGAACAGGGTGCTGAGGAGAATACTTGGACCGAAGAGAGATGAAGTGACAGGGGGCTGGAGAAAACTGCATAAAGAGGAGTTTCATAACTAGTACTCTTTTCCAAGTATAATTAGAACGATCAGGTCAAGGAGGATGAGATGGGAAGGGCATGTAGCATGAATGGGGGAGAGGAGGAATGCATATAAGATATTGGTGGGAAACAGGAAGGAAGGAGACCATTGGGAAGACCAAGACATAGGTGGGTGGACAATATTGAAATGGATCTTAAAGAGACAGGATGGAATGGTATAGATTGGATTGATCTGGCTCAGGATAAGTACCAGTGGAGGGCTCTTGTGAACATAGTAATGAACCTTTGGGTACCATAAATTATTGGGAAGTTCTTGTGTAGCTGTACAATTGGCAGCTTCTCAAGAAGAGCTCAGCTCCATGAGTGAGTACAAGAAATGACTGTTAAATTAAGTTCTTCTATAACTTGTGTCAGAAAGGGGGTCACCAAATCATGTTTTATAGAGAGCTTTCAAAATTGTATTTGTGGTACAACCAGCGTTGGAATGTAACGTTTCTAGTAATAATTGCTCATTAATTTGATGTTGTATAGCATATAAATTGTCTTGTGGATCCCATGATTTGAATAACTTTTTTTTCATATGAAAACAGTTCATAGTATACACACATTCATTTAAAACTATGGACATTCCTGATAATTAAGATTTCATATGTCATAGGCAGATGTCTCTGAGCATGGGATCTTTCTAGGAACTTTTATTTGTTGAGGTTGGTGTGAAAGTCTGTGCAGCTTTGACCATTGCTAGCCATAGATATTGATTCTTGCTATCCAAGGCCTAGCAGGCAGGTATATGAGAAGGAAATAGGAACAACAGGTGTCTCACACAACCATATGGACCATATGGGACACACAGGTGGAATGATACCAAAAAGCTCATCTTATATAAGCAGACTGTATCAGACTCTTAGCAACATATCTTGCTGTAAGTGAAAGACTATAATTGAAAATCAGAGTTATTTTAATATAATTTGATCCTTAAGTTTTGTATGTACTGTATTTAGTTTCCAGTCAAACGTGTTTAGAAATTAGGAACCTTGTATTTATTTATAGCTTAAGCATTATTACTGTATCAACGTTTCTATATATATATATATATATATATATGTCTGTTTTAATTAATATGTGTGGATGATACTAGTATTTTATTTGCTCAGCCTAATCTAACAGATTTAAATAACAACATGCATAGCATTTTTGAAACTTTAAATAAATGGTTCAAAGCGAATCAATTAGCTTTAAACTTTAACAAGACACATTATATTCACTTTGTAACTAAGAAAAATACATCTGCCAATTTAAAGATAGGTTATAACAATTTTGTAACTTTACTTCCTGTACAAAATTCCTAGGGATGATAATGAATGAAACTTTGTCTTGGGATAATCATATTGAAGCACTTGCAAAAACATTGAGCAAGGCTTGTTATGTAATTAGAAGCACCAAAACATACATGACTACCTCATCATTAAAAATAATTTATTATGCTTTCTTTCACTCGGTGATGAGCTACGGAATCATATTTTGGGGTAATTCCCCACATAGTGCCACAATTTATTTGTTTACCGAAAAAAGCAATTAAAATTATGGAAATATGTGGGAATAGGGTTTAGTGTAGAGACTTATTTAAGAAATTACATATTTTGCTTCTGACATCTCAATATTTATTGTCCTTATTGATGTTTGTAGTTAAATATAAACACATTTTTATAACAAGCATTAAAAGTTACAACCTAAAAACTAGGCAAAGTAATAATTTATATATTCCACAGGCAAACTTATCCATTTATCAAAATGGAGCCTATTATTCGGGGATAAAAATCTGCAGTCATGACTCAGGAGAGTTTAAGGATGATTTATTTTGCGTATGTACACTCCATTATATCATATGGAATAATATTCTCGGGCAATTCGACCCATAGTAATTTGATTTTTAAAATACAAAAAATAATAGTGAGAATTATTATGAAGGCAAGGAATAAGGACTCCTGTCGTCCATTGTTTAGGCAATTAAATATTCTGCCCTTATATTCGCAATATATATTTCTTGTATTAATATTTGTAGCCAAGAACATCGACATATACAAATTTAATTCTGCCATACATAGCATTAACACCAGACAAGTTACACATTTACATTTTCCAACTAATAAATCTGCTAAGCTGCAGAAGGGTGTATATTATTCAGGGATTAGGATATTCAATAATTTACCACGAAGCATTAGGAATTTGTCAAATAATATTATTAAATTCAAACAAGCTTTAAAAAGGTTTCTCCTTATTGGCTTATTCTAGTCCCTAAATGAATACTATGAATGGAACACAAGGGGTGATCTTGATTCTTACAAATAGCATACGCAATCGATTTGAACAGTTCTTTAATTGAATCTGTAGACAAGCATATACTTTTGATTTGTGTATATAGTGGACATGATTTCTATTTATTTTAATAATTTTATCATTATAATTTACAATTATATATTGTTTTATCAGTGTTTGTATTGATTCTTTATATATTCCTGTGAGAAAGTTTTTAATATGTATTTATGGCTAGTGTATGTCTTATATTGTATTATTTTTATGTTTGACATGATTCATATTAATTGATCCTTAGCACAGCATTGTTAATTTAGATATAGGACTTTGTTCTGCTTGTGAATCTTGTTGTGATTTGCCTTGCCAGCATCTTGCTAACTTTGTTATATATATTTTTAACTTGTTTCAACAGCTGTTGGAGCATATCTTATTTTTTCTGTTTTGACATGTTCTATATCCAATGGTTTTATACCTGTAACTGGATCTACTAGAAAATAATCTTTACCAATTACCCTCTCATATTAAGAATGTTAATGGTAACATAACTAAATTCAAAACTACTTTAAAAAAATTTTTATACACAAATTCATTATACTTATTAGAAGAGTACTTTGATCAATAATGAGAGTAGTTATAATAAACATACCTGAATATAAATTTTATGGCGCACTTGTGTATTATATTTGTAATTTATGATTTTTTGTTCATTGTAAACTCATTTTATAATGCCTGTTTTGTTATAATTATGAGTTCTACCTGTGCATTGCCAATTAATCTTATTTTCTGTAAACTGAAGGATTTATTTACTATTTGTAACTCATAATTATTTGTTTATTGTGGATTTCTTATTTAATATGATTATTCTTAAATGACATGTTTATGACTATTTATTTATGTAATGTAAGGCCATAACTAATTATATTTATACTGTCATAATGTTCCATGTAAGCAACTTTTGTAATTGATCTGTATGTACTGAGTGAGGACAATTTCTGTATCCATCTTGTGGATGTCTGGAATACTGAATAAATACAAATACAAATATGTGGCAACATCTGTTCTCATCAAATTGTGAAGCACAGCATCCCATTCATTCCATATAAACTGTTGCTGTCTACAGGCAGTCTTTTAGAGTGATAAATATCAGGCCACCAAAATTATGAGAATTGATAAGTTAAAAAATTAAACAATGCACTGTTACTGTCTATAACACACTAAAAAATAATATCTAAATGTAATCTACTGAAACATCTTTTCTGGAACTAGAAGATGAGGTGGTACAAATCTACATTAACCCTCCAAATCTGGTAACTGCATGTGACTGATCAAAGATCTAAGAATACCGGACTAGTGAAGTAGCTTTTCGGCTTGGTATCAGGACACATATATTTAGGATGATATTTTTACCAATACACATTATTACAAAGTGAGGTATAAAATACAGAGCAATCACAGTTTTTGTAAAGGACAAATTTAGTACAGTATAAGCTTACAGAGTATTTTATAAATCTGGGATACTGGTATAAAAGACAGAGATCCATTTGCATGTGCATGGGAAGTCATTAATAAGTAAAGAATTATAAAATGCTGGAATGTGTTACAGGCATGTATAATGTTCAGTGCAGTCACTAAAGTGATTGCTTTAATAGAAAGACTCATGCATCTTGCTCGAGTTTCTAGAAGTCCAACAGAAGAAACAGCCATAAAATCACAACTTCCTGTCAACCAGGATTTGTCTGAAGTTCCTGAAGAAACAAGGTAATGCAGAGACTATTCAGACTGATATATTGGGTTTTCGGACTTTATCCATCGTCCTGGTTTTTAAGATAACTAATAAAAACACGACGTTTCGGAAACTGGATCTGTTTCCGTCCTCAGGTGAAGGAAAACACCTATTCTGTTGGGTCCGTTAGAAAGAGCTAGCCTCAATCACTGGACAAAC